AAGTAGATCGCAGTTTTATAGGTGTAGGGTGGTACTCCACTGTATCCTTGCCTGTCATTCCTGAGGAGTGCATTGTAACAGTGGTCCTATAAGTGTAGGTATAAGAGAGGCTTGTCTGATTTTTGTATCTGTTACTGGCTCTTGGTCCATGCTACACTGATCTTAACCAGTAATCTCTTGAGCAGAGAGAATTTGGCTGCATGAGCCACACATAGGTAGAAGCTTGCCTAAGACAGAAGTGGTTTACTATAATACAGTTTGGCCTTTGAATGTTTTTTTGGGATTATTATACAATTTTGAAGTTGAAGATGGTCTGTAGGGGTAAAGTATTTGAAGAAGATTCTGGATGTACAGGCATTTATGCAGGGTCTGAAGAGTCAGGAACTAAGTTGAAGGTGCCAAAAGGCACTGCTTCTGGTGTATGAGGATAGCAGGACCAAAGAAAGGGTTAAAAAATATTTTAATCTTTTAAACCAGTGCAGGCAGTCCCAGCACCGTTTCTCAGTCTGGCCCCAGGCAGCCACAGATTATCTCACTATGGTCAAGGACACCAGCCCTAAACTGGGGGGGGGGGAGGATTCCAAAAAAGTTTCCTGGGCTTTAAAAAAATGTCAAAGAGAACCTGACCTCTGCCCTGCCTTCCAGTCCATTTTGTCCATGAGTGGAGCCTGCTGACCACAAAGGATGTAGCAGTAGGTTCCAGCACTGTCAGTTTATGACCTGGTAGCAGGAACAGTCTCCCCTTTTAAGATCTGACAGGATACCCCATTTGGCCAGGGGATATCCATCCATCACTGGGGCAAAGCAAGTCTTACTATCATAGTATTGATGAACCTAGCCTAATTCCATTTTAAGATTGGGAGCCATCTTATCACAAAGTCATGAAAAGTTAATTTCTGTTTTACTATAAATTACTGAGATTTTTAAACTTGTTTGGAATTCCTTCCCATGCTCTGAACTCATCCATGCCTGGTTCTCCTTGACCAGATTACAACCCCCTCTAAAAGCTTAGTGGCGCCTCATAAATTCTGATGTTGGGATCTAAATTTATTCCCTACCTTGAAATATCATGCCATGTAGATCATTAATCTACTATATGCCCTTGTATTCTGTTTGCCAGGACCCTGTTAGCTGTAAGTGCCCAAGACATCCCCTTTTTTGAAACTTCTTGTGTTATATAAAACTTTTTTTCCCTGAGAGCTGGGCTGATCTCTACTCTGGGTTTGGGAGAGACAGTCACTGGCCAGTTTTTTGTGTACACAATACAAGCTTGCTTTAATTTGATTTAAAATTGGAGTCAGTGGTCTTTTTTTTTTTTTTTTTGCATGGTGATTCAACAGCATCCCATCAAACTAAATGCCTGGGGAGACTGGCAAAATAAATACCTGCACCCAGAAGAAAAAAAAAATAAATTAAGGCTAACCTGTGTTTTGTAGGCAGGCTGTGCAAAGGGATCTTCAAGGGAGCCTAAAGAAAAAGAAGAAAATGACCTCCTTAATTGCATATCAACAGGCCTAATATAAGAAAAAAGCCCCAAAAGAGGCTGTGGGTACAATTGATAGTTGGGGACTCAAAGTTGATGGCATTGTGATAATGATAACAGAGACAGATCAGACTCAAAAATACCCCTTGAATGCAACCTGGGAGGAAAAAAATTATATATGATTTTTTTTATATATGTTGGATTGTTCAACCCTCTCCTGGATAAAATTTTTTGTGTAAATTAAATGTACTGATAACATTCATGCTGAGAGCCACAGCCGAATGAGGCATGGCATTTTTGCCAGAATGGAGTGGTTGAGAGGTGACGCCAGAGCCACTGAGATGATGATGGTTATGTCATGCTGTGTATTCAATTGTATATTAGGTCCCTGCAGTCCGCCTCGCCTGCTACTTTGGAGTTCTCGAGGGCATTCCTGGAGAGTTCGAGTTGGTTGGGGAAGTGCCCGGAGGAGGATTTCCGGTTGGTGGTTTTTCCTGGAAGGGCCGTATGGGTGAAGTTCAGATAATAAAGGAGTTCCTATTTTGAACCCACAAGTGCCTCGTGGCGGCTTGGTTATTTTGTGCCCAGCCAGACTGCGGAACATTCATAAATTCTGTTTCAGATTATGAATTTAAGAAAGGGTCTGAAACTAGAGAAGATGAAAGAAAGTTACAGGTATGGAAATATATGTTAGTACAGAAAATTAGAAGATAAAAGAAATATTTCTGGATGAGAAATATTAATATAAATATTTACTTGTATATATAAAGTAATATACTTGTGCTAAAATTCTTGATGAAGGAAATAAGTTGTGAGTCTCTAAGTTACAAAAGGTTTGTGGAAGGAAAATCTCAAAAAGTTTGTGTCTTTGATTAAATTGGCTATAATTAGCACTGTCAGTCAAGTTATTTGAACTTTAATATAAACTTTTACAAAGTTCAAACTAATGTGAACTTTTTTTTTTTCATGGTAGCAGGATTGAACTCAGGGGTACATGACCACTGAGCCACATCCCCAGTATTTTATTTAAAGACAAGGTCTCACTGAGTTGCTAGTGTCTTGGAGTTGCTGAGGCTGGCTTTGAACTCTCGATTCTCCTGTCTCAGCCTCCCAATCTGCTGTGATTACAGACATGCACCACCAAGCCTGGCAAATTTTTTTCTTTTTAGTGTTGCTGGGGATTGAACCCAGGGCCTTGTGCAAGTAAAGCAAGCACTCTACCAACTGAGTTTTTTTTTTTTTTACAGTGGTAAATGCAACATACAAACTTTATTTAACAAAAGTAATAGGTAATGTCAAACAGGCACCTATATTAAGAGAAAAAACTGATTAGAAGAAATTTTATCTTAATCACCTTATAAGAAGCTACTTGCAGTTGCATTTAACTGAGCTCTGTTGCTGTGAAGAATACAGCTCATGGACAGGTATGGATGAATATTTGTACATTTTTCAAATACTCACTGAATACTACCTTATATACACATATACATTAAATTTGTGAAAGATTTAATTGATGATCCCAGATAGACTTCATTTTTGTTGCTCTTTTGGAAGAGGTCGTCCGTCTAAAGAGAAAAATATGGGGTTCTGGCTCATGAATCATGTAATGAACCCAGCCTAGACTCTGTTGGACACCAAGTCTCCTCCACTCCTCTTCAGACATTAGATGAGTTTTAGGTACTTGTTTGGAAAGTTCTCTGGGTAACATGACATGCTGGTACTCATGGTGCTCGTTGAAGTACTTGTCTGAGTAGTAGATCTGCTTATGGGCCATAGGGCAGCGGGGCGGAAAGGAGGTGGAACCCGGACTGCAGAATGGTTGAAGAAGAACGCAGGTCCATTTCAGGCCAGGGCAACGACTCCAACCTGTCCTCAGCTTTTAATGTGAATTTATTTTATGAAGCAAAGTCTGAAACATTGATCTGCTCTTATTTATCAAGATAATTTTCTTGTATTTCTTAGGTTTTATTACATGAGGAAACTAAGTCTTAAATGAATTAGGGGTTGTGCCTGTTTTAAAGTCTTTTTAATGATTATTTTACATCTGGTTAGATGAACAATTATTTTAGGTTATAACAATACAGTTTACATCCTAAATATATGCAATTAGATATAAGTATACATCTGAGAACTGTATCTAATTATTGTCTAAGTATTATGTAAAAATTTATACTGTGAAAGTTTATCTAGGTTTACTGGCAAGTGATAAACCCAGCCTAATTCCCTCTAAAGATTGGGAGCCATCTCATCACAAAGGCATGAAAAATTAATTTGAGCTTTACTAAAAATTACTGAGATTTCTAAACTTGCTTGGAATGCCTGCCCGTGCCTTGAAGTCACCTATGCCTGGCTTTCCCTGACCAGATAGCAACCCTCTTTGAAACTTTAGTGGTGCCTCATAAACTCTGGCTTTCCCTGGCCAGATAATGATCCTCTCTGAAACTCTAGTGGTGCCTCATAAACTCTGGCTTTCCCTGGCCAGATAATGATCCTCTCTGAAACTCTAGTGGTGCCTCATAAATTCTGATATTGGGATCTAAATTTACTCCCTAAGTGCTGGACCATTAATTTACTACTTGCCTTCGTGTTATGCTTGTTAAAAAATCCTGTTATCTGTAAGTTCTCAAGACACCCCCCCCACCTGTTTGCAACTTTCTGCGCTATAAAGCTGCACTCCTAGAGAGCAGAGGTGCTGTCTTCTATTCCCACAGGTTTCGGGAGAGACAGCCCCAGCTGGTAGGAATTACAAGCTTGCTTTAATTTGATTTAAATTGGAGTTGGTGGTCTTTTCTTTGTGTCTGGTTTAACAGCAAGGTAACCAATAAGTGCTCTCCTTTATACATTGTATCTGACATAGAAGGGCCACACTATCATTTGAAGACCTGTCTTATATGTTTGCTTTGACTAAGTCAATTTCTGCTAACCCATGCAGACCTGTGATTATTATTACTGTACACTATGGATTCTAAATTGTACTTTTAAATTGTACTTTAAAAGTCAAACTTAGTTAAATGTAAACTTAGGGGAGAGCACTTTACCAAGTTAGTGTTTTCCAAACTGAAATTATCTGTAGCAGTAGTCTCAGATTTGTATAGAAATAGCAAATTTGGGGGCTGGGGATGTGGCTTGCCTGGCATGCGCGGGCGCTGGATTCGATCCTCAACACCACATAAAAATAAAATAAAGATGTTGGGTCCACCGAAAACTAAAAAATAAATATTAAAAATTCTCTCTCTTAAAAAAAAAAGAAATAACAAATTTGGTTGCCATTTATTCATGTCATTTGATTTACAGCTGAATAAAGTAACCTGTCAATAGTTATATATATATATATATATATATTTATTTATTTTGTGTTACTTTTCACACTGGAATAGGAATTTAAATATATTTTTGGAAGGTAATAAGGAGACCCTTATCTATTTAAAGGTAACATTGTTAAACATGGAAGCATTCTGCCACTTGTTCCACACAAAGAAAGATAAAAGCTCTCTCACCTTTCTTTGATTCTTATTTCAGGTGCAATGTTGTATTGTTTGTCAAAAGCCCTGTCTTACCTGAGGTAAGGCTCTGCCTCTCACCTTACTTCATCTTAGAATGGCTTTAAAATAGGCTAGATTTCAGCTCATTTAAAGTTGTGTTCAAAAGGTTGATTTTTGTTGTAAAGATTACTCTGATCTCAATAAACAGGGAATATAATATATAACTAAGGTTCAAGATTATGATTTTTTTCTTGGCTCATAAGCTATTACACAAATTAAACATGTTTTTGCTTAGTTAATTTTATTTTGTATTTTCCTTGTAAACTTTATAACTGTTGCCTGTTAGTGTTTTGCAGAGGTATTACTTCTAATAAAATCACCTGAGTTAATTCTAGATAATAAGCTATCACCTATAGGACAGACAGTATGTAATGCTGACTTCTTGTACTAATACTGATTCCAATTAAATGAAAGGAGTAATTGTAAAATTATAGGTATTGAAGTTATAACCTGTTACTTCCATTTTTAAGATTGGTGAAACTGACCTGCTGGGTATTTAAAACCAAATGCTTGGAGATCAAAGTCAAGGAAGTAAAAGGGCCAAGGAAAAAGCAGACAACATTTTGGCCCTTGCCTGCTAAGGTCAGCCAGGACCCAGAGAATGATGGGATCCCTCTCTGGGCCCTGAAACTCTGGTGAGTCACCCAATCTGCTGATCAGGGAGATGGAGAGAACCCCAGAGAGCAGGAAGCCAACCAGTGCACATTCTGCAAATAGGAGGGTCATTGGAGATGGAAAAGTCCTGGATGCATCCTAGAGAAGCCATGTATGGTCAGCCAGACCCTAACCTATCCTGGCAGATGGCACCACTGGTAAAGGAAAGCTAAAGGAGCCAAGAGGTTTCATACAAATCCTCAAGAGTGGCAGCTGAGGAATCTAACCCCAATATGTCCACTCCCAAGACCACCCCAGCCCTGCACCTGGCAGGAGAGTATAGCCTGAGCACAGCCTACATGAGCATTTAAAAGGAAAAACAATGCTTTTTCTTAATGTAACTTAAGATGTACATTTGTGTCAGCCCTACCAAAAGTAACTAAGGCTGGAGGCTATAAAGGAAGGGTTCTGTGTGGGAGTGCCTAATAATAATGATCACAAAGGAAATTTGTCTTGAGTTAATTTGAGCCTGATCTCAGACCAACAAATCTTCCTAACTTCCTACATTGATAAACTCCATCTGTTTTTCACTGATATGATTGAGTTACTGTCTTCCTGGTTTTCAGATACTGACTTAAATACTAATTGCTTTTGTGCTAATTGTTTACAAAAAAGTAATGCTTTGCTGTCTTTTTATTGTTATCTCAGCATGATCCCTGTTCTAAGTATGCCTTGTCCAGCCACCTCCCATTTGCCACTGTGGACCTTTGAACTGTTCTGATGCTGAATACCCTTAATCGTACACCCTGCCCCCCTCCCCCCCAAAAAAAGAACTTTGGTTTATTTTCCCCAATTTTACCCTCTTTCAGCAGGAAGCAATTTAAGATGTCGTCACCCATTTTTTTTTCCATAGAAATGGAATGTAGAAATTGACAGTGGGAAAATATAACAGTAGTCCACTTTATACTTTGAAATAAATAACCCTTGCTGCTCTGTCACTGCAGCTCATTTTTAAATGGACAGGTTTCTTTCCTCTCTCCCAGTTCCTCCCTAATCTCTCCACTCCATAATCTTAGGGGAAACAGTATTCCCATTTTCCCCCATGTTAGGCAGATTTAACTGTCCTTGAGCATCCGTCCACCATAGGAACAAAGTAATCCAGAAGTTGGGGGATGGCACTAGAAGATCTCAGAGAGGAATATCTCCCAAATTAACAAGTGAATTTCAAATCCAAAAGAGAACAGAGCATGTAGCCTTTGAATCACCTCCTTAAAAGCCCCTGTTCCTGCTGATGGGCAGAATCACAGTCTCTGGGACAGGAGTCCCCTGTGTTTCTCCTTTGCTAGCAAAACAATAAACCTTTTTCCTTTCTCTAAAACCATGTCCTTGTTATTGGATTGGCATTGGGGACAGGGACCAAGCTTTCAGTAATAGCATGAGTAATGAAATTTCCCAAATTCTCTGTTAAATTCTATACATTCTTTCTTTGGGATTTAGTTAACAGTATGCTTGGGACATTTGCAGCCTAGAGTTGGACATGTGTGTTATCAACACGTAAGGTTTTAATTTCTGCATTATCACATCAACTGGGGCTCAGATTATAACTCAACACAGTGCATCAGCCCCTTTGTGGGACCAAACAATAAGTACCATAAAAGAGTGAAGAGAGGTTTATTACTATACAAGCTTGGAGAGCACTGGGGATAATTCCCAAAGCAGTATTCCCTGAACAAAGAAAGCAAGGGGCTGTTGTTGGAAAATCACACATATTCATGTTGGAGAGACTCATCATTGCATGTAGAGACTGGCACATTTCTGAGCATGCTTGCACTGATATCATGCCTTACAAATGGGAATGCCTTCTGGATGGAGAATTTAGCCTCATAATGAAATTTTAAAGGCTGAGTTTACTCTAGGTCACCTAGAAGAGTGAGAGTGACTCAGCACTTTTGGCTGGTTCCTTGTGGTTTTCTCTGGATAGTTTCGTTTGGGGGAAAAAAAAAAAGAAGAAGAAGAAACATTAACAGTCATTTAAAGGAGCAGAAGGGCCACGTGTGGAGATGCAGGCATGTACTCCAGAGGCTCAGGAGGCTGAGGCAAGAGGATCACAAGTTTGAGGTCAGCCTCAGCAATTTAGCAAAGCTATAAGCAACCCAGTGAGACCCCATCTCAAAATAAAAAATAAAAAGGGCTGGGGATATGGTTTGATGGTTAAATCTCTGGGATATGGTTTGATGGTTAAATCTCTTGGGTTCAATCTCTGGTACCAAAAATAAATAAATACATAAATAAAGGAGCAGGAGGCTCCACCACTCAACACAGGTGATTGCCTCTGAAAGTTCCTGCCTAGCAGCTAACAGGATAGAAACAAGGGTGGCAATAAGCACCATCATTTTAATGAATCCCCATGACACGGCATCACACAGTACAGAATATGCAACATGCCCCCTGGTGCTTTGAAGAGGTTTTGGCAGGGTCTCTTGCTGAGCTAGGGAAGGAAGCAGAGCCCAGAGATACCATTACAGGAGTAGTTTTTTCCTTCTTTGAGAATTAGAAAAAACATATGAATTTTATTTCAATGGCATAATTGAAGAAATAAAAATAACTCAGGTGAAGAGTAGGAGAGGGTCTAACTTTTTTTTTCCCCCAATATTAGTCAGCATTGAATTTGGAAGGAGAGGAAACCATGCACAATTTGATAAAATATTCTTTTTTTCTTCAATATGTAACAGTGGTCCACTTCACCTTTTGAATATAGCCCTTGATGCTTATTTTAAAAGTTACATCATTAAAAAAAAAAAAAAGTTACATGTTGTTAGCTAGGTTTTGGAGGTGGCTGAGGAACAAAGCATAAAGCAACCTGCACCTGCTCCAAAGAACAACCAATCAATCAGGTGCTGAGGGTGACCTGTCACTCAGTGGGGTCTCCTGACCACTCCTGGATCTTAGCCAGCTCCCTGACCAACCCCAGTAGAAGGGATTCTAAAAACCCCCTTTTCCTGTCCCAACCCCTCTCTTCCTGCCCTAAGCACAATAAAAATCCCAGTCAGGTCCATCCCTGCCAGATTCTCCTCAGACCCACCCTGTTGGTCTGAGGGTCTTGCCTGGGATTGAAATCCCAATAAAGCAGCCTTTTAAAATCTGCCTCCTTTTGGTCATCGCTGCCTGACCTTACACATGTTTTTCTTTTTCTCTTCTCCCTCTCCCACTCCTTAACCTGGGGATAGGGAACAAGATTCCTTTGAATTATCTGACCTCCACAGGAAGAAAATGTCATCAGAAGATCTAGGAATTAACAAGTGAATCCTTGCACACCACCAGGGCACACCTGGAATACAACCCTTGCAGTGTTTCTTTAAAACTCCCCCTTTTCCTCTTCATGGGGAGAACCATAGCCTCTGTGACTGGAGCACCCCATGTTTCTCTTTTGATAGCTGAAAGGGAAAGTGAGGATGAAGAGACAGATAAGTGAGAAATGAAAGACAGGGACCAGGCAGAGGTACACTGAGAGTTTATTTGTCAAAGCTGACAAATGAAGGCCATCTCTATAGCGAAGAGACACAAAACAGGCTTCAGTTCCAGGACTTTTATGGGGCAGGCAGAGGAATCAGCAGGGTGGGGCCTAAAGCGGGTGGTTAGGAGTTGGGTTGGTATGAGGGAGTGGTGAACGTTTCTCAGAAAGGCCCGTGGGAGGGAAAGTGAAACTTTTTCCTTAAAATGGTGGCTGTCTCTTAAGATGGCCATCCAGATGCTAAGCATGAACCTTATAATAGCAAAGAAATAAACCTTCTTTTTCTTTTTTATCAATAATGTCCTTATTATTGGGGCTGGGGCCATGGCTTAGTGGTAGAACGCTCGCCTAGCATACATGAGGCACTGGGTTTGATCCTCAATATCACATAAAAATAAAATAATAAAATAAAGATGTTGTGCCCACCTATAACTAAAAAATAGAAATTAAAAAAAATAACGTCCTCATTATTAAATTGGTATGAATTGACATGGGTGGCAAGGACAGAACTTTCAGTAACAAATATATAGTGGTTATAGTGGTGCATATCCTGAGTTGCTTTTTTTAAAAAATATTTTTAGTTGTAGATGGACAAAATAATTTATTTTTTATTTGTTGCTGATAACTGAACTCAGTGCCTCACCCATTCTAGGCAAGTACTCTACCACTGAGCTACAAACCCAGCCCCTGTGTTTCTGGTTGTTGTTGTTGTTGTTTAAACTAGGTATTGAACCCAGTGGTGCTTTACCACTGAGATACATTCCCAGCCCTTTTTATTTCATTTTATTTTTATTTTTTTTACATTCTTTTTTTTTAATATTTAGTTTTTAGTTGGACACAATATCTTTATTTATTTATTTCACGTGGTGCTGCAGATTGAACCCAGGGTCTCATACATGCTAGGCGAGCGCTCTACCACTGAGCTACAACCCCAGCCCTCATTTTAGTTTTTAATTTATTTTTCAGTCCTGAGATTGAACCTAGGGTTCCAGAGCATGTTAGGCAAACATTCTATCATTCAGCAACATCTCCAGCCCCAGTGCTTTTAATTTAATTAATTAATTTATTTTATGTTCAGATTTTCAAGAAACTTACTTTGTAAATAAGTCATTAGATTGAAGAATAACATACATATGGAGAATCACATGGACAGCACAATGAATGTTTTAAAATTAAACCTATGTATGTACTCATCACCAAATTCAAGTGATAGGACATTGTCAACACCCTGAATCACTGCTCCTGCCCATGCAATTTTAACATTTAAGTGCATTTTCCCTTTTACAAATATAGACATTACTGTATTTCTATCATCACAGAATAGTTTTGAATTTCCAATAAATGAACCAATGTAGAAGAAATTTCTTAATTTTTTCTGAGATTAAATAGATTGTTTTATTAAAATGAATATATTAATTCACTCTCTTGCCATTAGTGTTTGAGTTTCCAGTTGATCAACATTTTTGTCAACCTTTAGTATTAACAGTCTATAACCATAATTCTAGGTATATGGTATTTCTTGATGTAATTTAAATTTATATTTCACTGATGAGAAATAATATTGAAAACAGCCTTCAAATTTTCTTTTTTATAAAGAGAAGAAGTCTCTGCTGAGGTATTTTGCCTATTTTCTACTGGGATTTCTGTCTTTTTCCTATTGGCTCTAAAGAGTTCCTAAAACACATTAGAGAGAAAGTTTATTTTATTTTTTAAAATTTGAGACAGGGTTTCACTAAATTGTTGAGACTGACCTTTGACTTGTGATCCTTATTTCTCGGCTTTCTAAGCGATTGAGATTAGAAGCCTGTACCACTACACACAAACTTTATTTATTTTTAAAGTGCTTACTAAGTATCAGGTATATCCTGAAGGCTTAGCATGCATTATTTCACTTAATCTTGGTCACAACAGGCCCTGACAATGATAGCTGCATCTGAAGTAAGTGATATTTCATTTTACACAAGATGAAGCTGATGCTCAAAAGCAAAGTAATTTTTCAAGGTCACAGAACCTAGGATTGAACCTAGGGCTTTGTGTATGTTAGGCATGTGCTCTACCACTGAGCCACATCCTCAGTGAATGATGCAGAAATGACAACCCCAAAACAGTGTGGTCTAGAAGAGGGAAGGAAGAAGGCAACACATTGATAACATTGATCTTTTCCCAATATATCCCTTCCCAGTGACAGGACAATCCCTGGGAAAGAAGCAAACATCACCCAGTGACAAGTCAATCCCTGGGAAGAAAATATCCATAAAGTCTAAAAATGACTGCCTTTGGGAAGGAGCCAAACGTTGATCCTTCCCTAAATAAATCCTCCCCCAGTGCCAGTACACTAGAGCCTGGAGGGAAAGAGATAAGCACTGAATGCGGAACTCTGGACCTTCCATCCTTGCCCAGTAAAAACAAATTTCAAATTTTCACAATCTGTCTCCAGAATGCCCAAACTGATATGTTCTGTTAAAGAATTCAATGGTTAAGTCATCTCCCAGTATGTAACCTATAATCTCAGACTTCTCCTGTAGTCAGGGGCCATTTTTCTACACAGAAAGTGAGCCCCTCCAGTGCTGGATTGATTGAATCTGCTGTGGATAATGGAAAACTTGCTGATCCATTTGAGGTATGCTTCCATCCCAGTTATTTGTGTTTTCATAATGGTGTCAAAATTGTTCTGGTTATTTTTGCTTACACTCAAGTTATTCCTGTTTTATATTTGAGGAAGCTAGAAAGTTAAGTGATGAGCCTGAGGTTTACCTTTGTGGAGCAGCAGAACTAGGACTTGACTTTGTCTTCTAACTGCTGGCCTAGTGCTGAGCTAACTGGGTAAGGCCTGTGTACCATGGTTTATCCATTCCCCACACTTTACCACTCCTGAAATCAGGATGCATCTTGTAATCAATGACATGTCTTAGTTTCATTAACAGCCTTTTTATACCTTGTGCTTTATAACATGATGAAGGACCTTTGATTGATGAAATCTTAGGTTCTTTAGAATGCAGGCACTAAGATAGGTGCAGAGGAGTGCGGTTGCAGCTCAGTGATAGAGCACTTGCCTTACATGCGAAAGACCCTGGTTAGCATAAAACAAAACAAAACAAATAAACAACAACAACAACAAAAACAGAAAGTGACAAGGAAAAAAGGAGAACCAAGGTCAGGGGAAGCTTTGTGGAGAACTTCTACAGTCCTATACTCCCTCAAGTGGAATTCTAAATTAAAAAAAAAAAAATATTTATTTTTTTATTTTTTAGTTGTCGCTGGACACAATACCTTTATTTTACTTGTTTATTCTAAATCCTAAAGGCTCTAAAACTGTTTTCTTCTCTTTCTTTCTTTTCTCTCCCTCTCTCCCACCCCTCTCTTTTTTGCAGTACTGAGGAAATTGGGCCCACTTATATACTCAACTGTCATAAGAGAAGAGATGTCTCCAAAGAATGATTCAAGTTCCCCAAAAAGGAGGAACTTAAATCACTTCCAGCGGGGTTCTTGGCATGCATGATGGAAAAGAATTTCAAGCTGGGTGTGGTGGCCTGCTCCCATGATCCTAGCAATGTGGAGGCTGAGGCAGAAGGATTTCAGCAACTTAGTGAGGCCTTGTATCAGAATAAAAAATAAAAAGAACTGGGGGATGGGGTTGAGGCTCAGTGGTGGAGTGTTTGCCTAGCATGTTTGAGGCACTGGGTTTAGTCCTCAGCACCACACAAAATATAAATAAATAAATAAATAAATAAATAAAATGAAAAGTTAAAACAATTTTAAAAGGGCTGGGATTGTAGCTCAGTGGTAGAGCGCTTGCCTCACATGTGAGAGTTTTAGACCACGACGCAAGAAAAGACCACTGACTCCAATTAAAATCAAATTAAAACAAGCTTATTATTTTGACTGGCCAAGCTTCCTTGCCCATCAAAATCGTGGGAGCCAAGGACAGTGGCGAAGCTTCCTTGCAGCCCAGTTTTATAGCCCCAAAAGTGACACAAAGGGGGGTTACAGATAACAACACTCTGAGGAGCATAACACAAGTTTACATTTTTGCTGGCCCCAGCATCAGAATTTATGGAGGTCTTGGAGACTCAGAGAGGGTCGTTATCTGGCCAGGGAAGGCCAGAATTTATGAAGTGTCACTAAGGTTTAGGAAAGGGTTGTTATCTGGTCAGGGAAAACCGGACATGGGTGAGTTCAGGGCATGGGCAGGCATTCCTATCAGCTTTACAACATCAACTAATGGCCAGGCCATACAGGCATCCTGATATTTTTACAGAAAACAGAAATGAATCTTTCGTAACTTGTGACAAGCTGGCTTCTGATCTAAAGAGAGAACTAGGCTAGGTATATCAAGAGGCACTGGGTTGGATTCTCAGCACCACATAAAAATAAATAAATAAATATATTGTGTCCATTTACAACTAAAATTATTTAAAAAAAAAAAACTTCCAAACAACAATAACAAAGAAGGACTGGGGATGTGGCTCAGTGGTAAAGCACTCCTGGTACATTAAAAAAAAAACAAAAAAAAAAAACATGTGCCAGTGAAAGGCATAGACAGATTTATTTAGGAAAGGAGAAGCATATTCAAGGGATAATGGGGGCAACCTCAAGAGAGATAAAATTACGGTAAAGCAAGGAATACACATTCAAGGAAGAATGTGGGCTATCTTGAGAGGGAGAGACTAAGGGCCATTTGCTAGAACTAGAGGTGGAACAGGGTGGAGCTACACAGTTTGACACCAGTTTTTCCTGTGCTTGAGTTACAGAGCCAAGAATCAAGTGTCCAGCCCAAGGGCACGTTGCTTTGGAGTTGCAATTGTTCCTGGGTGCTCTTTTCATTTCACCGGCCTACAGGTGTTTCCTTTGAGACTCAGTTTCTCTCTCTCTTTTATCCCAAATTCCTATCTCACTACCACTGAGCTACATTCTTTATATTCCTTATATTTTATTTTGAGACAGCGTCACCTAAGTTGCTAAGGCTGGCCTCAAACTGTTGCCCAAAATCTTGGTCCTTGTCCCCAATGCCAATTCAATAATAAGGACTTTCTTTTATCTTTTCTAGTTTTGGACCCATTCTTAAGTTCATATTCTGAAACAGTCCTCATTAAAGTTATATGTACATTTAATTTACACAACAAATTTCAGCCCAGGAGAGGGTTGGACAATCCAACATAGATCAAAACTGTGCCTTACTTTTTTCCTCCCAGGTTGCATTCAAGGGGTTGGAGCACAGGGTATTTTTGAGTCTGACCTGTCTCTGTTATCATTATCACAAATGCCATCAACTTTGAGTGAGTTCCCCACTGTCAATTATGCCCACAGTCTCCTTTTGGGCCTTTTTCTTATACTAGGCCTGTTGATATGCAATGGAGGAGGCCCTTTCCTTCTCTTTCTTTAGGCTTCTGAAGATCTCTTTGCAGAGCCTGCCTACAAAACACAGGTAGGCCTTAGTTTCCTTTTTCTTTTCTTTTCTTTTTTTTTTTTTTAAGAGAGAGTGAGAGAGAGAGGGGGACAGAGAGAGGGGGACAGAGAGAGAGAGAGAGAGAGAGAGAGAATTTTAATATTTATTTATTTTTTCTTAGTTCTCGGTGGACACAACATCTTCGTTTGTATGTGGTGCTGAGGATTGAACCCGGGCCGCATGCATGCTAGGCGAGCTTACTGCTTGACCACATCCCCAGCCCCTCTTTTTTTTTTTTATTTCTGGGTGCAGGTATTTATTCTACTAGTCTCCCCAGGCATTTAGTTTGATGGGATACTATGACACCAAGACTTGCTTTGCCCCAGTGATGGATATCCCCTAGCCAAATGGGGCATCCTGACAGATCTTAAAAGGGGAGACTGTTCCTGTTGGGCTGGCAGCTTTCCCTGCCCTTTCCCTTCCCCTTCCCCCTCCCCATCTCATAGCATTCATAGGTGGGGACTTTTTACCTGGCTGAAGAGACCAGGCTCTTAAACTTTCCCCTAAACTCCGCTGGCCACTAACAGTAGTAACAATTTAATTGGCCTAGGCCCTCCTACCTCTAGTGACCTATATAGGTTTTGTTCTCACCTTGAGCACACGTGACTTCTCTGGCCCTCACCCTTTTGTGGACAGTTGAACCTCACCCGGGAGTGTCGTCGTCGTCGTCGCTCTTTCCAATAAAACTCCTTTTGGTGCCTCATTCTTGTTCTGTGGTTCCTGGCCTCGCGCCCTTTTTTTTTTTTTTAATATATATTTTCTTTCTTAGTTTTAGGTGGACACAATATCTTTATTTTACATATATGTGGTTCTGAGGATCGAACCCAGTGCCTCATGCATGCTAGTCAAGCACTGTACCACTGAGCCACAACCTCAGCCCCTTCACGCGCCCTTTTATGCTTTACATTTGGTGCTGAAACCTGGGAGGAGTTCGAGCCTCTTCTCAGCCCTTTCTCCCCCAACCCTTAGGGTCTGAGGCTGCTCCTCTCCACTGAAGGAACCAGCCAAAGGAACGACTGGATCCCTAGACCACTTGCCCTCATCAGATCCAGCAGAGTGGGGTAAGTCATTTTCTCTTTGATCTTTTGACTCCTTCCCATTTGTGGGGATTCTGTCTGTAAATTATGTACGTGTCAGAGACTCCCCTTCAACCTGTCTGTCCGGGCCCCCAGTGGATTGTAGAGACCTCTCAATCCCTGGCCAGTCCACTCCATTCTCTGGTAAGCAGAGTAGGTAATTGGCATGCCTTTTTCCTTCCTGCTCACCCCCAGGTGTGGAAAGATCATGGGAAACATTGAGTCTACTCTGGACCCCCAAACTCCCTTGGGGTGTCTATACATGAATTTTTCCAAATTGGGACTCCATCAGGACTTACATTGTCAATGGGTCCTTTTCTATTCCACTGTGGCCTGACCACAATACACTTTAGATAATGGCTCTAAATGCCCTCCTGAGGGGACTTTTGATTTTAAAATCCTGACTGATTTAGACAATTTCTGCCGACTGACGGAAAAGTGGTTAGAGATTCCTTATGTTCAGGCCTTTTGAGATTTATGCTCCCAACCCTCTTTCTGCTCCACCTGTCCCACTTTCCAAGTTCTTCTTGCTAAAGAAACTCCTCCTTCCAAGTCCACCTCTGCTCCTGACTCAGACCCCTCTCCACTTATTGAACCTCCTGAGACACTCTTCTCACCACCCCCCAGACCCTCCTATCCTGATCCTCCTCCTTATTTGGAACAGGCTCCACCTGAGTTAAACCACTTTCCTTCCCTTGTCTCTTCCTCATAAGTGCCCATACCAGGTCTCACCAAATGACCCAAGACCCTGAACTTCTCTATCCTCTCGATAAGGTGGTAGGATCTGAGGGCATCATTCGAGTTCATGTCCCTTTTTTTCTACAAGATCCCCTCCCAAATCGAAAAGCGCTTAGGCTTCTTTTCTGCTGACTCCACTACCTATATCAAAGAATTTAAATACCTTTCCCAAGTCTATGACCTTACTTGCATGATGTCCATGTCATCCTTACCTCCACCCGCACCCCAGATGAACACCCTCAAGTCCAGGTAGCTACACAGAACCATGCAGACAAGGTTCATTTGACCGATGACACCATGCCTACAGGTGCAGCCGCAGTCCCTGACACCAGTCCTGATTGGGACTATCAAAATGGACAGGGCTGATGCCGCTGTACTCAGATGATACAATGTCTGCTGGCAGGCACACAGGTAGTTTCTAATAAGGTTGTTAATTTTGATAAACTGAGAGAAGTCACTCAGGGGCCTGATGAGAATCCTGCAATATTCTTTAACCGCTTAACGGAGGCCCTTGTTCTCTATACTAGATTAGACCCTACATCTCCCTCTGGGGCAACCATTCTGGCCACTCATTTTATCACCAATCAGCCCCTGATATAAGAAAAAAGCTAACACGTGCTGAAGATGGTCCCCAAAGCCCCATCCAAGATCTGGTGAAAATGGCCTTTAAAGATTACAGTGCCTATGAGGAAACAGCTGAACTCAGCCAACAGGCTCACTTACAGAAAAAGGTGGCACTCCAGACACAAGCCCTGGTAGCAGCTCTGCAGCCAGCCTGGGGCCCTGCTGGGGTTCCTAGGGGTCCTCAGAAGTCTGCCCCAGTTGGGGCCTGCTTCAAATGTGGACAATAAGGCCACTGGGCCTGCCATTGCCCTAAGCTGCAGCCCCCCTCTCAGCCGTGCCCCAGCTGCAAGCAGCTGGGACATTGGAAGAGTGACCATCCCTTGGCTGGTCCCTCCCTGGTGCCTCAATATGGGGATATGGCTGGACAGGTAGTCCCTTCTCTTGAGCTTCTGGGACTGGCTGACAACTGAAGAAGCCCAGACTCGAGGACCCCCATAACCCTCTCTGAGCCCAGGGTAATCCTCCAGGTAGTGGGTAAGTCCATTACCTTCCTTGTGGACATAGGGGCTACCTATTCTGTCTTGCCTGCTCACTCTAGGCATTTATATCCCTCCCAGATCTCAGTCATGGGGATAGATGGAACACCCTCCTTCCCAAAGAAAATAGCCAGTCTGACATGCTCCTGAGAGGGACATCCTTCTACCCACTCCTCTTTAGTTACCTCTTCCTATTCAGTTCCCCTTCTAGGACGAGATGTTCTCTAGCTCTTGGGGGCTACCCTTCAGCTCTCACCCCATGCCCCTACTACCCAACTCCTCCTCCCCTTGATTCAGTCCACAATAGACACACCCTCCCCCACCACCACTTTTCCCCTCCCATCAGGCCTCATAGACCCCCAAGTCTGGGATGCCTTCAAACTGGTAATAGCAACACACCATCAACCAGTGCAGATTCTACGTTCCCTTCTCGACCTCAATTTCCCATTTCTCTCCCTCACCGCAGGGGACTCAAACCCATCATCCAGTGACTACTAGATCAAGGCCTTCTCACTCCCGAAAACTCTCCCTGCAACGTTCAGATCCTACCTGTCCGCAAACCATCAGAAGCATAGCGCTTGGTACAAGATCTCTGTTTAGTCAATGAAGCGGTTGTTCCCCTTCATCCAGTGGTCCCTAATCCTTTATCCTCCTCTCTCACATACTGCCCTCAACCTCTCATTTCACAGTTCTAGATCTCAAAGACGCCTTCTTCACAGTCCAGCTTCATCCAGATTCTTACTTCCTCTTTGCTCTCACCTGGGAGGACTCTGACACTCTCACATCACGTCAACTAACCTGGACTATCCTCCCTCAAGGCTTCTGGGATAGTCCCCACTTGTTTGGAAAGCACTGGCCTGAGATTTAGCTACCTGTGATCTCAGAGTCAGTACCGTCCTACAATATGTAGATAACCTCCTCTTATGCATCCCATCTTCAAAGACTTCTCAGAGACACACTGCCCAGCTACTTAACTTTTTAGGTTCCAGAGGATATCGAGTTTCCCCAGCCACAGCTTGACTCTAGGTCCCTTGGTTACCTACCTGGGCATTCTTCTAACTCGTACCTCCAAAAGCCTCATTGTAGACAGAATCCAAGCTCTCAGGAGCTTGCAGCCAACTGAGTCAGCAGATCAGATCCTCTCATTTTGGGAGCTTGCTGGATTCTTCCAACATTGGTTTCCCAACTTTGCTCTTCTTGCCATTCCCCTTTACCTGGCAGCTAAAGACACTCCTGTTGGACCATTGATATCACCAGCCCAGGTCTCTAGGTCTTTCTTCAACTCAGAGATGCTTTGATCTCCTCACCTCCACTATCCCTACCCAACCTCAACCGTCCCTTCCACCTCTTTACAGATGAAAAACAAGGGATTACCACTGGTCTTCTGGCCCAGCCCATGGGACCCTCCTACAGTCCTGTAGCATATCTCTCTAAACAGCTTGACTCTAAGGTACAGAGATGGCTGCCCTGCTTCTGAGCCCTCACTGCAGTGGCCAAACTTACCAAAGAATCTCTAAAGTTAACCCTCCTTCAACCTTTGACCTTCTTTTTCACCCGTAGGCTTCAGAACCTCCTTGGACATAAATCTCTCTCCCTCCTGGGCCCCTCCCGAATTCAGGAGTTTCATTTACTTTTCATTGAAAACCCCACCATTTCCCTTTGTGCCTCTCCACCCCTTACCTCGGCTTCTCTTCTCCCAATGTCTGGTTTTACCCATCCACCTAGGTACTCTTGTCCTCAAGTCCTTGAGGCCTTACATATACCTCAGGAAGGCCTCTTCAACCACCCTTTGAAGGAGGCAACAGACTTGACATTTTTTTCTTAATATTTTTTTAGTTGTAGTTGGATACAATATCTTTCTTTTATTTATTTATTTTTATGTGGTGCTGAGGATCGAACCCAGCGCCTCACACATGCTAGGCAAGTGCTCTACCGCTGAGCCCCAGCCCCAGCCCCAGCCCCAGCCCCAGACTTTACAATTTTTGTAGATGGAAGCTCAACTGTCGGGCCAGACAATCGCTGCAGAGCAGCCTATGGTTTCTGCTTCGGCTGTCCTGGAGGCCAGCTGCCTCCCTAGAGTTACAACCTCTCATCCGAGCTCCCCAGCTTTCAAAAGGCAAGTCAGTAAACATCTATACTGACTCCAAATATGCCTTTCTTGTTGCACATTCTCACTCAGCCATTTGGAAGGAGAGAGGATTCCTAACTACCAAAGGCTTCCCTCTAGTCAATGCCTCTCTCATCTCTAAACTCCTTGAGGCACTCTACCTCCCTTTCCAAGTTGCTATTATACACTGCTGGGGTCATCAAACTACTTCCAACCCCATAACCGAGGGACAGAACAAGGCTGATGCGATGGCTAGAAGCTTAACCAGCAAGCTGCCCATGGTTCCCATTCTCTTTTTCTCTCCGCCCACCAAGTTGGCCTATATCCAAATTGACCTCCTGGCATGAGGGCGCCAGATCAGAGACGAGAGCTGGATTTTCCTGGGGGATAAGATTGCCCTTCCTCAACTCCAAGCCCAAGATCTCTCCGATATCCACAAGTCACTTCACATGAGTCCCCAACCGCTCTTTCAATTCTCCAACCTCTCTTTTACCTATCTGGCATGAGTGACTTAATTCAACAGGTCCATTCCACATGCTCTATATGTTCCTCTGTCATGCCTCAAGGGGGCCTACAACCCAAGGTCCCCTCTCATCAGATGCGAGGACACCAACCTGGTGAAGATTGGCGGGTAGATTTTACTCATATGCCCAGACACAAAAAGTTCAGATACCTACTCACCCTGGTTGATACCTTTTCAGGATGGATTGAGGCTTTCCCAACCTCTCAAAAGACAACAAACACCGTGGCCTTAGTCCTCATTGAGCAGATCATCCCAGGTTCGGCCTTCCAATGTTCATCCAGTCAGACAATGGCCCTGCCTTCACTTCTCAGATAATCAACAGGTCTCAGAAAGCCTCAGCATCTCCTGGAAACTTCACATTCCTTACAGGCTGCAGTCCTAGGGTAAGGTTAAGCAGGTCCACGGGATCCTCAAAGACCACCTTACAAAACTCTCAATTGAGCTTCGAATCTTCTGACCCAATCTGTTTCTTCTTGTGCTATTTGAATCCAAGCTGCCCCTAGAGCCCCCATAGGGCTCAGTCCCTTTGAACTGCTCCATGGCCGCCCCTTCCTGATTAATTATAACCTTCCCATCCAACCCCTTCTCCTGGCCTCATATCTACCTTATCTCACCTTGCTCTGCAGTCTGCTTTGGGAACACATGGACTGCCAACCTCCCTGCCCCAGCAGAACTAGTACCCTCTGATGGGCCACGTCAACCAGGAGACTCTGTCCTCTTAAAGGAACTCCAACCTTGATCATTCCAACCACGCTGGATGGTACCCCATATGGTGATTCTCACCATCCCTACATCAGCCAAACTATTAAGCCATCCTTCTTGGTATCACATTTCTTGGCTCAAGCTTGCCCCAGGCCCTAAGGCCTGGTTATGCCAATTGGTGGGACCATCTAAACTCAAAATCATCTGTGGGCCTCCCACTTCTTTTCCTACAGGTCCCCCGACCTGAAAGACGCTGCCTAATCCCTACTGCTGGCGTTTCCAGCTACAGGAGACCTGGGATGGTAAGACCCAGACATTAGGAACTGGCGATTGCCAACATGCTGGTTGCCAGACAGTTGTCTCCATTCTACTAACCAGCCTCAGTCTTTCCGGCCAAGCATCCTTCCTCTGCCTCCTCTGTGACCAAACCAAGCGGTACTGCAAGTCCCGACCAGATATTTACGGAGGATGCCCTCACACTTCCTGCAATATGCACAAGCTCAGAGAGACCACCCAAACCCAATTCCTATATGCCTATTCTGGAGGTAGGACCTATCTGAACATCAGAGATCCCTGAGACAATTGCTGGGCAGCAGGAGTAGAGAGAAAGCTGTACATATGGCCCTGGGACATTTCCCCCTCCGGAACTCTTAAGAGTTTCCACACCTACGCTTGAGTGATTCCTCAGCTCCACCAATAAATCCTCCAGAAAAAAACTGCCCTCATTCACCACTAGGGGCACACGAGGCAGAGAAGGGAGACCATTTTTATTTCTGGCCCTTGTACAATGTCAGAGGTTACAACTCCTAAACTACTCCAGTGTCAATAATATTTCTGATTGTTTTCTGTGTGCTGCTCTAAATCACCCCCTTTAACGGCAGTCCCTCTGACCTTTCCTCTTAACATCTTCCTCTGCCTCTGACGGGGATCCCCCTCTTTGACAATCCCCCGCAGCACCAGCAAAATCTTTCCATCTGCTATGCCTCCCAAACTGTCTCCAGATGCAACTGACTATTATGGTGTCCTCCCAAGTCCCAGCACCCCCAGGAATTTTCTTTTGGTGAGACATTGATGAAAGTCATCAACTCCTCCTTTCTGTACCCCTGTCACCCCAGTTCCTCAACTTACATTCTCTGGACAGGCTGAGTTTCTCTCATTGAGCCTGCCTCCACCCACTAGATCTAAACGGGCTGCCTTTCTTCCAGTGATCATAGGCATATTCCTCTTGCCTCATCTCTGGCTGCCTCAGGTATCGGGGCCAGGGCATCAGGCAATAGCTTAACCACAACTGAAGAGCTTGAAGAAAAATTACAGCTAGTGATTGAAGCCTCTGCCAACTTTCTGGCATCTCTCCCAAGACAAATAACATCGCTCCAAAACAGGCAGGTCCTAGACCTACTCGTTGATGACAAAGTGGTACCTGTTTGTTCCTCAGGGAAGAATGTTGCTCTGACATCAATGAGACCAGCCTAGTAGAAGAAAACATCGATGTGCTACAACAGCTGAGTGAAGAACTGAAACGAAGGCAGCAGCAGTCTACCTCATTCCTCCTGGGATGGTATAACTCAGCCCTCGCTGCTTGGTTGGGTCTGATTGTTGGCCTCATCCTTATGACCTGTGTCTTGCTAATGATTGCTCCTTGTCTTAGATTTATCCAAAACCGCATCAGCAAAGTCTCATGGGTGGCAGTTATTCAGATGCTCCTCCACCCCTACAGCCACCTTCCCAATAAGCCCCCAACTCTTGACCTTCCCTAGACAATGCCCCCCTACCAGCAGGAAGTAGCCAGATTAGAACCACACCCTATAACATCAAAGAGGTCGGGATGTCCAGCCAGCAGCTTTCCCTTCATTTTCCCTTCCCCTTTCCCCTCCCCATCCCATGGTGGCCATAGGCAGGGACTTTTCACCTGGCTGAAGAGACCTGGGCCTTAAACTTGCCCCTAAACTCTGCTTGGCCAACCCGCTAACAGTAGTAACAATTTAGTTGGTCTAGGCCCTCCTACCTCTAGTGACCTATATAGATATTGTTTTCGCCTCCGGCTCGTGCGACTTCCCCAGCCGTCACCCTTTCATGGACGGGTGAAACTCGCCCCAGAGCATCCCCCCTTCCCAATAAAACTCCTTTTGATATCTTATTCTTGTTCTGTGGTTCCTGGCCTCTCCTGTCCTTTTCTGCTTTACTGCTTCTTTCCCCAGGTCATAAACCGACAGTGCTGGGACCTACTGCTATATTCTTTGTGGCCATCAGCCTTCACCCCCATGGGCAAAATGGACTGGAAGGAAGGGCAGAGGCCAGATTCTCTTTGGCATTTTTTTCTTAAAGCCCAGGAAGCTCTTCTGGGATTCCCCCCCCCTCCCCCAGTTTAGGGCTGGTGTCCTTGACCACAGTGAGATGATCTGTGGCTGCCTGGGGCCAGGCTGAGAAACAGTGCTGGAGTGCCTGCACTGGTTTAAAGGTTGAAATCTTTTTTAATCCTTTCTTTGGGTGTCCTGCTATCTTACACACCAGAGGTACTTCCTTTTGGCACCTTCAACTTAGTTCCTGACAGTTCAGACCCCTTACCATGCAACTGCATAAATGCCTGTACATCCAGAATCTCTTTCATATACACTTTACCCCCCACAGACCAACTTCAACTTCAAAACTGCATAATAATCCCCCCCAAAACATTCAAAGGCTATAATATATCACAGTAAACCATTTTTGTCTTAGACAGGCTTCTACCTATTATGGCCCATTCTGCCAAAGTTTCTCTGCTCAAGAGACTACTGGCAAGATCAGTGTAGCATGGGACATGTCTTAAATGGCCAGTAACAGGGGAAAAAAAAAAAAGCAGACAAGAGAAGATCACTGAAACCAGGGCTGACAGAAGGCAACCTTTAAAAGAGACAGACCTGCATGTACAATTTTTTTCACTTACTTTACCTTTGACAGACCAACTATCGGCATCAAATCAATATTGGCATCAGATTTGCCATTTTTAGGTCAGGAGCCATTTTATCCGAGGTTCCAAAGTTTTGATTCTGAGGCAAAGCTGCTTAACCTCCTGTAAGAACAGGTGTCTGCTATCAACCCCACCCCAGCTTGAACTCCTAAGCAGCTTATGAGATTCCTCTTGTGAGTTATAAAGCCACTCTATGAGCACAGACAGGCTGCTGCTCTCCTCAGGGGGACAGCCTTGTTGATATCCCTCATGTTACCAACAATAAATCTCTCGTGTGATGTTCTGGTATGTGGCATGGTCCTTGGACTTTGTGTGGACTCTGCAAGTGTCCTTTTACCAACTCCAACTGTAAGATTGTATAATAATCCAGAAAGTTATTCAAAAGCCAGATCATTACTATAAGACATTATTTTAGACAGGCTTATACCTGTAGGTGGCCCTTTCTCCAACTTACTTTACCTCTGACAGACCAACTCCAATTGCATGATAATACAAAAAAGAAACAGAGAGACAACCAGAGGAGCCCCAAAATCATGGCTGAAGGACAGGAACCTTTAAATTGACCAGCCAAGACACTACCTATAGGATCAGTGCAGTATGGGTTATATCTAAAAAGGGACAGTAACAGATACAAACAGAACAAAAATACAGACAGACAACCAGAGAGAAACAGATGAGAACCTAGAACAGACCAGAAAGGGGTAAATATCCCTAGGTTCTTAACCATGACTCTTACACCAGTGGTGCCACAGACGTCCTCACAAAGAGGGACTAGATGTTCCCATAAAGAAGAACCAGAAGTGTTGGCATCAAGAGTCTTGGTGTGCACACTGGGGATTTACCAAATGGCCAAGGTTATTGCGACTTTCCTGAGTTCAGTTTCCTTAAGTGGACTACTATGGAGCAACCTATACTGTTCACAGAGAGGACGTGGGGTTCCCTGAAGCAAAAGGAGCTTCGGCATCTGCTGAGATCATTCCTCAGTCCCTCCCTTTTTCACAGGAACAGCTCCTAGGGTTCAACCTGAGGCAGACCCATTTGTCTCCTAACTCTCTTAGCAAGTTGGCCTTACATCCTCAGTATGGCCTTGGAGAGCCAGGCCTGGCCCAGGAAACTGGAATGCGAGTTGTTCTCGGGTTCCTCCTGGGGTACCAAATTTGTTGCCAAAAGCTTGGTCCTTGCCCCTAATGGCAATCCAATAACTAGAACACAGTTTTGAGAAAAAGGAAAGAAGGTTTATTGCTTTGCTCGCAAAGGAGAAACAGGGAACTCCTGTCCCAAAGGCTGTGATTCTGCCCATCAGCAGCAACAAGGCTTTTAATTAGGAATTCAAAGACTACACTCCACATATTCTCTGCGGGAGTTGTAATTCACTTGTTAATTTTGGAGATAGTCCTCTCTGAGGTCTTCTGGTGCCATCCCCAAAGTCTGGATTATTTCTTTCTCTGGTGGGTGAGTGCTCAAGGACAGGAAGGGGAAGGGAGGTAATCCTGTTTCCCCTGAGATTAAGGAGAGGGAGAGATTTCGGATGAGCAGGGGAAGGAGAAAGAAACATGTCTATTTTAAAAATAAGTTGCAGTGACAGGGCAGTAAGGATTATATTCAAAGGTCCTCGTTATTGGATTGCAACAGGGGCAAGGACCGTGTTTTTGGTCACACCTGGAGCAAGGCAAAGGAGATGTTACTTACTTTGGGGTCCACATATATCATTGTCTTAGTAAAATCCATCCTGTTTCTCAAAGCACATCTGGCCCCAAAGGTAATAGTTGAGAGGTTGGGTTTTGTCTCTCTCTTTTTATTTTTTAATGTTTTAATTATAGTTGGACACAGTACCTTTATTTTATTTATTTATTTTTATGTGGTGCTGAGGAGCAAACCCAGTGCCTCAAATGTGCCAGGCAAGCACTCTAACACTGAGCCCCAACCCCAACCCTGGGATTTATCTTGATTGGTGGCTAGCATCGAGATGTTTGGGAAGAGGTTTTAGGAAGAGGAAAATACATCATCTGGGGCCTAGGTATAAATCATTATCCAACCATTAAATTTGCCTTGAAGGTTGGGATGAACTGCACTTGGGACAACTCCTCTTCCTTAATCCATGATTCACAGGGAGAGGGTTGAACTTTATGGGTTTGGTTTTTTTTTTTTTTAAAGAGAAAGAGAGAGAGAGAGAGAGAGAGAGAGAGAGAGAGAGAGAGAGAGAGAGAATTTTCTAAATATTCACTTATTTATTTTTTTTTAGTTTTCAGCGGACACAACATCTTTGTTTGTATGTGGTGCTGAGGATCGAACCTGGGCCGAACACATGCCAGGCGAGCATGCTACTGCTTGAGCTACATCCCCAGCCCCTATGGGTTTGGTTTTTTTTCTCCTAGTATCAATTCCCTCCTTTTCCCATAAGTCACCTGATTTCCCTGAAAACTCTGAAACACACCCTTTGGCTGGGAAAGAGCATTAGGCAATCTGCGAAATTCCCCCATTCCTCCTTTCTCCCCTGGAACTTGAGCCTGGGAGGAAGATGCAGTTCTCGTTTCAAAAGCAGAGGGAGCTCCAGGATCAAGGCTGAATAACCCTTCCTCTGTGTCATGGTCTCCCAGCCCCCTCTTTGTTGAGATCAGGGAATTTCGGACATGCACACTTGGATAGAGAATCTTATGTACAGAACCAGGCCAGGGAGGTCTGCCGGAAGTTCCTGCAGAGGGAGCATCGAGGCCAAGCCGTTGCTCCTGGGAGCCAGCAGGGTCGCCCAGCATGACCACTGGCAGGAGCGAGAGGGCTGACCCACTTGCTCCCATCAGTTTCTGAAGGTAAAAACTTTAAAAATGAAGAGCAGAGCTTTGAGGGAGGGGAAAAGAAGGGCAGAGAACCACACAGAGAAAGGTTTGGGGAAAGATGGTGGGCTGGAAAGAGAAGAATAAAAAAAGACAGAATTAGAGACAACCCATTTCTCCTAGGCTGATCCCATCCACCCTGCTTTACCCCATCACAGTACCATTGTTTTCAGGGTTAAAAGCTATTTTGGCAGGACTTTTCTAGGAAGATATCCTCTCTTAGTAAAGGAAAAAACAAACTAACTCTGGAAGATTTTGTTTCTTGTCATTAGCTGCCCCTTCTCTCCTTCTTTCTGCAATCCTGTCTCAGTGGGGGCAGTACTTCCCCTCTCAGACCGTTTCTCCCAAGGACCCTGCCCTCCCCTATTGAAAGAATCTCATTCCTCCATCAGTGGTCGTTGGGGACATCAACAGAAACCCATGTTATACTAACCATAGTAAAGAGGGCTGACTTGAAGTGATAAAAGGTTTGTGGTGGAAAAGGAGGGGAACTATCTTAGCCGGGTGGTCAGGTGGGCAGACTCCCGAAAACCTGGGTGGAAATGGGGCTATTGTTCTGTGGGGCCAGGAGAGAGATTGGTTGAGGGGGCCTAGAGGTGAGGAACAGAAAAGAAGAAAACTGGGAGAAACTACTTGCTCTGGAGAAAAGTTGGGAGGAAGTCAGAGCAGCAATGGGAGAAAGATAGGATTTAGTTCCAGTGTAGAAAATTAGTGAAGTCTGACCAGGGAGGGTGTGAGAGGCCAGGTGTCATGTGTGAAGACTGATAGTGTGGCTCTATTAAACTTATGTTATTCTTATGGTGCTTCTCACCACCAAAGCAGGGTGACTGTGTTTGACAGACGGATAGCCAGGCTGTCCACCACTTTAGCTCCAAAGTCCAGAGGCACAGAGAGTTAGGACCAGAGACATGGACACATCGCCAGAGACGTGGTAAGTGATTGGGGGGTCTACAGAAATGTTCATGGACTCCAGTCCCTTCACCTTCTCAAGAAAAGGATTTTGATTTGACCTAGGCCTTTTCTTTATTCCAAGCTAAGGTTTTCTTCCATGGCCTGCTAGGTGTCCTTTTCTCTTTTCCTTCCTTCCCTTTAGGACAAATGCTCAAATTCTATAAGAGGCTGTTGGTACCTGGGTTACCCACATTACTGTGCCCCTCCCCCTTTTAAATTTCAGGTGCATTGTCTTGTTTTCTCTTTTGGCACGGGTTTATGCTGAGCCGACCATGTATGGGGAGATCCTGTCCCCTAACTATCCTCAGGCATACCCCAATGAGATAGAGAAATCTTGGGATATAGAAGTTCCTGAAGGGTATGGAATTCGCCTCTACTTCACTCATCTGGACATAGAACTGTCAGAGG